CAATACATCGGTTATAATAATGTAAAAATTAGTTAGTTTAAAATAATTTTACAAAAATCACTATTTTATTATCTGCAATGTTTACTTGGTTTGTTGCATTTATTGACTCACGTTCGATACTAACTGTTCTTTTTTTTCTGGTATGACCAGGAGTGAACGCTTCAACAAAGTGGTCTTCTCGATGGCTTGTCCTGGGAAATATAATCCGTGGGACGTATTGACGGTCACCAATGAATGTCACTACGGAGATTGGGTGTTTCTTTATTACATAGCAAAGAACTCAGATAACTATGTGTTCAAGGAATTGTTGCAGAAACTTGCTGAGGATCTACGTCTTGTCAGTCTCTCGAACGAGGAGAAACCGTTAAACCATTAAGTATCAGATTTATTTTGCTTGGGATTTTTAAATGTTCCATGCATTTCATCTAGTGGCTTGCATAATATCTAAAATATATAAACTCGTATTACGAGTTACAATACAATGAACAAATAAGCCACCTACATGATATATTATATAGATTTTATATATTTTGATACGATGAGGAGAAATGATAAAATTTGCAATAAATGATAAAATTGTAAATATTTAGGCTTCTTGCAGGTGCGGTAGATAATTAAACAAAAGACTCTGAACTAATGTAATAGAAATAAATCAATACTAACTAAATAAAAGTGGTACGTTGAACAATTAGTAAATTAATTTCTTTAAAATAATTTATTTCGATTCAATATTGTTTAATAAATTTGTAAATATTCGTATCTGTCGTTTTATTATTTATTTTAGAGATTACGTCGAGTTCAAATCGACTGCGGTTTGTCAAATCTGTTCCTTTCTGTAAACGTCGTCATTGCTTCTTCCGTGCGAATGAAACATTTTTAAAATTTGTTTTAATAACGCTCGATAATGCAGGTTCTACTTCATTGTAAAAATCTTCATTGTATTCCATCTTCATTTTATCTCGAATGTTGTATTTGTAAAATCATCGAGTGAAATTTCAACTTTCCAGCTCTGCGTCCTGGTTCACGACATTGATACGTGTTTGATAATTATAATTGAATTACTTCATCTATCATAACGCAACTATAAATAATCTGTATCCGAATGGTAAAAGTCCACTCGATAACTCGCGAGCAGCATTTTTCAGCATCATTCAGCACTAATTGGAGCATTTGTATACACCGATCTCTTTATGCTCAGGTAAATACACTAGTTATATTGAACTGACCTATTCAGTTGCTCGACAATAGTCGAGGATTATTAAGGATTGTTTAAGAGGTTGATTGGCTCCGTGACATGGCCGTCGAATTAGAGCACGTCCAATTTGATAACGTCATACATAAGTGTGTATATAAAGCATAAACGCGTACATTGAACTTTGCAATGAATTTCGAAAAATACATGAATTTATCTTCATTATCTTATTACAGTATGTATAAATTATTAAGAAACATTGGTGGAATATCTCTGGCGAGTCGTGAAAGCTACAGATATACAACAATTATTTTTCCAAGTTGCAAGCAAATGCAAGAAAATGTGCATTTATTGCAATATTATATATTGAAGTGAAATGAGTTTGTTATAGAGTTTGTTACAGTACAATGTCGATTAAACTTTCACTATTAAAATGTACATAAATTCGATTTCCTATTCGTGTCTAGGTACTAATTTCCTATTTCACTGCGTTTAATCTCTTGATGGAAATCATAAATCTTGTTCTCTCAAGAATAATCAATAACAGAAGATTAATGAACCATTTCAAAGGAAACATCATCGAGTACAATTTCATGGAAACTGAAAACACTGGAATTATTACGTCATTTTTTTCCTTACCTCTCCGCTAATCTCTGAAAGATTAAAATTCGAATGTTTCAATGGTAATATTGAAAAAAAAAAAAAAAAAAAAAAAAAAATGATGTAACTTGCAGATGTCGACGGACGATTGTATCACGAACTTTAACGGAAGGAACTGATTACCTAACTGGTTATCGGGATCTGGCGTTAAGAAAATATTTGAAAGTCTGTCGTTGCGAGATATGGTAATTGAATCAGCTATTAACGAAAGATAAATGATTCTTCAACATCTGATGAGAAACATATAACATTTTATTCATTACTGCTTCAATAACTGTCTTCTTTCGTAGACGTCAACGTCATTGCTAAATTAGAGGACATTCCATTGGTGACTTGATAAAATAACGTACCATTTAAAATTCTAATTCATTAACTTCATTCGCTGTGTGAGCAAACAAAATATGAAATATTGAGCAAGTATTGAAGAGAAGGAGACTTTTATTCTACAATTAATTATAAAAATAATTCCTATAAACCTATAATCGTGCAGATACTAATAACCCGGCTTCTTCGCAACAGCATTCACGCCTAAAAATAAAATAAAAAAAGAGCGAAATATTGTCACTTATGTTACAATTAAACGTTGTAAAACATTGCACGAACAAAACATAAAGGAGTTAATTACAATCAAACGATTGTGTGTACTGGATCAAGAGATATAAGCTGGAAAATCAGATTACGAGATCTTTGTTCGTTCCTTTTGCGTGGGAGGAAGCGTCATCGCGACCGGAACACGGGTCCATTATGTTTCTTCTCACAACCGGGAAATGACGACTGTGCCACCGTAGAAAAGAGGAGCAGAACCAGGAAGCTTCTCTCATGATCGTGACACACGCGTGCACTTGATGTAACTGTAATCGCTTATCTGACATATTTTTGTACGTATTCTATGTGTCATAATCACACATTCTGTCAACACGAGTGTCGAACGAATGATTTTGTTAACGTTACGTGCATGGCAACGGAAATGCTCGAAAAGGTTTTATTCCGTACAGATCTTTTTTTGGCAAATTTTAGAAATTTCCTTTCCCGGTGAAAAATGCATTTCACTTTCGTCCGAAATTTCAAAGAAGTCTTATTAAATAATTTATACCCGATGTACCTAATTACTTCGTATAATATTACAGTTACCTTTGAACTCGTGTCTCTTTTTCTTTCAACAGTTTTCACGATGATATGTAAATAATAATGATAACGATGATAAAAAGAAAGATAGAAACTAGCCACGCCTCTAATTTCTTTAAAAGTCTTTAATTTCTTCTAATTTAAAAGTTTGACATTTTCAGCCTAACTTTAAAAACAATTCGAAAATATGTTTTTTTATCAAAGGGCAATAAATAATAAAATAATAAATAAATAATAAATAAATAATAAATAATAAAAAGTTTGCTTGGTATTTTAACAAGGTTTTCTACGAGAAATATAAAATTACTATTACAACTGCTACGACTTTTTACAGAGATCTGATTACCGCAGCAAATGATCCTCAAGCACAATGATCACTGATCACTCTGCCAACACGATATTGCAAGTACACGTGCATGAACTTTCAAAACGAGTCAGATGACTGACTCACGAGAACAGCAGATTTATGTACTCATACAAGTTCGTAGAACCAATCGCTATCGTTCGTCAGTGCAAAGGAATTCTCTTGGCTGGAGGAAGCCATCATGCCAAGGGAACGGAGACACAAAGAGAAAGGAAAAAGTCACCGAATTTTGTGACAGCGAACGATCACGATATTCTTACAAATCACGCGGTCAGTTTATTATATTAAATATTTTCAACATACGTACAGTATTATTTCTTCTCTTGATCTTGTTTTCTAGTTTGAAGAGTTATTAAGCGCAAGGTCTTTCTAAGAAACAAGTAGGAAAAGTAGATTAATCAAATCCCTGAGGGGATTTTTTAATTTTTTTTTTTTTTTTTTATATATAAACCACATTATTATACTCAACATTAATAGTACATCTCGTTCTCAAATAAACTTTTGGTCCATTAGGAAATAAAAATCTCGGACGAAACTTTGTTTTAAGTTTAGAGACTTAGAGTGTCTGTCACGAGAAAAAGTATTATTTCTACTCGAAGAAATACAGATGAAATTCTAAATAATGAATATTACGTTTTTCTGCTAATGTTTATTGTGAGTACAGCAGCCTTTATTAGTGACATAAGATATTCTGGAAGCGTAGACAAGGCGCAGAAGAAATAAGAATGTTACTATGTATGTACTTACATTGTTCCGTTCGTGACGAGATTTTGGATGACTGAGCCGGCGTGTGTCTCGAAAATATACACGTTTTGTATCAAAAAATAGACACCAGGATCTCCACCTTTGCATCGTAAGAAACGCTCGCGGAATTTTAACTTGAACACTTCCGTGGAATTCTTAATCGTCTGAAACATGAAATTTTTGTACATACATGTAGATTCAGATTTCATTAAGATCACGCCATTATTTTGTCCAAACGAGGCCTGTGCTGGGTGTCATCCTGCGCTTAGTGTACTAGAATTAAGAATGAAATGATTTTAATGTACATACAAAGTCGAATCTTTTTTTCTAGTTTATCTAGAATTATTGTCGGAGATACAAACCTGTCGAAAAAAAACCGCAAGTATTTTATAACACTGTGCTGTGTATTCGTTCAGTTATTTGAAACGACGCTGTTGGAAAGCTTAAATAAACAACGGTGCTGAATAAACTTCAACTTTATTCGATGTACGTACGTATGCACGCATTGGTGTGAGAGAGAGAGAGAGAGAGAGAGTGAAGCATAGGATTCAGAGAAGTACGTGTGCATGGATAATGAGGTTAACGTGTAGCCATCGAATAAGGTATTTACACGTTGGCTGGCCGAGACCAACGTGACCGAGTCTGCCCATATAAGTCCAAGCCTTTTCCTTTTTTTCTTTTTTTTTTTTTTTTTTTCTTCTATCTGCGACAAGTTATATGACTATAACTATCCGGTTTATCCTTGGTCGCCGATCATTTTCACTCGCCTCAGTTTATTTAGGGCGACAATTTCCTACGGCCGCTTTCTAAAAATTCTCGTAGCTCAGAGATATAACAATGGAAAACGTGAAAGTAAGTTTCAAAGATTAAATACAGTTTTTTTTTTTTTTTTTTTTTTGTTACACAAAATTTTGTTCGCTATACTTGGTCGTTTTTAATAAATAGTGATAAAGTTCGACTCGAGAGCAACATCGTGTGTGACTCTTTCCTCTTCAGCAATGTAACAGGAATGCTAATGAAGCAACACGTTGTTCCTGTGAAAAAAAAAAAAAGAAAAAAAAAACTGCTGACTTCAGAGTCCAAAGCTTAGACCTTAGAAACTAGAAGTTGCCAATTTGTTTGTCGCAAGAAATGTACTCGAGATTTAAAACGTACATTTATACTTCGTAATAAAAATAATTCTCTATCTGCTATTCATAAAAGAATAATAATAATTTTTTCGCAGTTCTTTCAGTGTTAAGTTGAATTGAAAAGTTGACTCCGAGAGTTCAGAAAACGAAAGGATAAACGAAGAAAAAAAAGAAAGCCCTTAATAGGAATATTCTCATTAGCATTTCGTCCACGTTATTGCACGCGTGTTACACGTACAGTATGGATTATACTGTTTAAGTCTCAGGAATTACAAGGACCAGACGCGAGCAGAGTCGACATACATTCGTCACAATTGACACGATTGACCTACAGTGGTTCTCAACTAGACACTCACGTGAAAACCGGTTTGACAAGGTTTCAAGAGTACAGTTTCGAGGATCGATGCTCTGCTCGTCTCTTCTCGTGAAAGTACTCGTACAAAGTAAAGTATACAGGAGAAGACACTACCAGGCGAGTTTCAAGGATTTTCATCAGAAAGATTCAATTCACGCTGGATTCTACAGGAAGGATTCACGATGGTTCTGTTAGAGAGGCAGAAATTCAGCTTGGAGACTTATCTTCCACAGTTTAGAATACGTATATATAACACTCAATGAAAAAAAAAAAAATTTCAAATTTTCCAAATCATCGAAATATTCTTTAATGTTGTATTATAGAAACTTTAATGAATTTAATATTTCGATATTCAGTGAAAATTTTTTTATCAAGAAGATTGCCCCGAGTGTACAATACAGAGTACTCTGATCGAAACAATTAGGGGGCCGCTAATATGAACAGTTTTATTGCATCAAACAAGCAAACAAAAATAGATTAATTAACGTATTATTCGTTATAATACTGCAATAATTAAGCATATAGTCTAAGGAAATTTTAATAAATGTAGATTCGGGGATTACGTAACTGAAGTTACTTCGTCATGCGAAAATATCGTGTAAAATTAATAGTTCCACGTGTAAGTACTTGAACTGATTTATCGTTAGTCCGATCGTATGTAATTTATGTAACTTTTTACGAAAGAACAGCTCGATGATAATTCGTTTTCTGAAAGATGCTGGAGGAAACGCCGTTTAAGTCGTAACACATCCTGGCTAAATAATCACTTATGGACAGTGAGTAATGGAGTATCAAGTATTGTGCAACACTGAAGGTTTTACGGTTTCAAATAGGCCAGATGTATTAGTTTATACTGTAGAAGATATAGAAGGTAATATCAGAGATTGTAAAATACTGAAATGTCTATTATAATAAAACTGAATCATTAGCTTTACAATCAAATCTTTTTTTTTTTTTTTTTTTTTTTAGTAAATTACAGCAGGTATCTTACTTCGAATATTTCATATACTTTGCATATTATATAGATTTCGTTTTAATTTTCGTCTGGTGTCATATATAATAGTACTCGAAAAAAATCCAATTTTTTTTTTCGTCATTTGAATCTCTGAAGAGTATAGGGTTAGAAGAGATTAGCCTCGGTTATGTTCAGGAAGGTGACCCTCATGCAAGACAGAACGCAACGTCGAATGCTAGACGGTCATGGTTTGTTGAGCAGACCACAGGTGACGAGGAACTCGCCAAGATTTATTGTGCTCATAAAGCGATCCAGTTGGAAAGCAAAGAGGAAAGAGCAATTTTTCACCGACAAAACGAGTGATTGTCGTCGTTCATAAACGAACTCTAATTAAGATAATTGCGACTAAGGACGCGTATAAAGCACGCGGCGCGGCAGTACGCAGGGAACGGACACTAAACTCTGACATACTATTCGGTTGATGTGAAAACATGTGCCATGGAGTTGGATGATTTTATATATAACAAGAAGGTATATTTATGTTTCTTTATATGAATGCTATATCCCTCAAACTCCAGTATATATTTGTTGTTAATTTTATACTATTAATTACACATGTAAAATGTAAATTAATTCGTCGTTGAAACACATTTCATAAACAAAAATATATTTGCCGGTAAATTGGAAAATAGGTAACGATATAGGTTCGCAATAAATTGAAAAAAAAAATATTCTGATCTTAAAATAATTTCAAGTGATTATTTTCTAATAGATCGATTGTTCGCGCAAGGGATACAACGCATTCCTAAATATTGCCACTGGTGCCTTGACCGAGTTTGACGTAGCCACACTATGGGGTGATATTATTCAATGGACAGTTTGCGAAAAGGTCACTTCTTGCTCGCGCGAGATAAGATAACAACGAATCTCCAATTAAGCACACAAGTTTTCTCAAATGAATTCCAATCAATTCGTAGTGATTACGAAAACTTGAACCAGGCATTCGTTCAACTTCACGTTTCATTCTTTCACTTGTTCCTTCTCTTTTCTTTCTCCTTTCCCCCCCCCCTTTTTTTTTTGTTGTATGAACACGAGGATCGAAAATGGCTGTGTTGTGTCTAGTGTCGAGAAACCGAAATGTTGAAACGCTTGCTTCTGCGATATCGTGTTACGATGCGTTTGCACAAAAGGTTCAGTTACAACACGTTGCACATTTGGACCAACGACTGGTTGCAATGAAAACGAGACCACGACGTGACGACCATTAAGGCATAAAATTTTTACGACACGTAAGGTGTCGATTACTTATATATACATATATATATATGTATATATGTATATATATGTATATATATGTATATATGTATATATATGTATATATGTATATATGTGTATATATATGTATATATATGTATATATATGTATATATATGTATATATGTATATATATGTATATATATGTATATATGTATATATATGT